TTCTACATATAAAAGCGGATTACAACAACATTCAGTGCAATAGATAAAACGCAAGCCTTTATGGAATTAATCTAACATAACTTCGAATGTGCATTATAATACACTTCGGTCCTCTCAACGGGCATCAAGGATTGTGAGGGGATATCAAGCATTGAGAATATAATTGTTGCAATTACGGATGTCGCTACACGATCCTTCCGGGAGGAAAGAGAAAGAGAAAAGAGAATGGTTGAGAATGTAAAGAAAAAACATTGGAGATAGGATTGAAAAAAGTAACATGTATGTTTCTCTACAGAAATAGGCGCTGCAAATAGAAAATATTACAAAATGTATAGTACCACGTATTTGTATATAATGTATATATGCATTATATATATATATATATATATATATATATATATATATATAAAATCTTATCCTTAAAAGTATCGAATTACAGAAGTACATTCGTAAACATAATAGTACATTGTAAACATAGTAGTACTTTGAAAAATCGTTAACATCTCAATTATGTTAAGTAATAATTGTAAAGACATTCTCGCGAATCGTGATTGATTGGAGAATAGCATATATGCGTATATGTATATGTATGTATATATGTGTATGTGTGTGTGTGTGTATGTAATAGCAGTAGCTATTCTCTAATATATTAACATATTAATAGTACTAATAATAATGATATAACAACGATACGGCTAATAATGATAATATAAGTATACGAATAGTATCACAAAATAATTATTATACAATTAAAACAGACGTATCTTGCTTATACAGATCTTGCACATGTCTCAAACATTGTAACAATATCTTCAAGTAGTCGCAACTGTATACTATAAATTATTTACATGCAACAAGAACGAATACGAGAAGAGAAATGGGGTTTTAAAATAAAATATAAAAAAAAATTATACGATGAAAGAGGGAGGGGAAAGAAAACGTAAACGGGGCTTCGGCTATTCGTTTATTCGTTCGAAAGGTATCGCGAAAGGGAGGTGTGAAAAAACGAGAATAAATTGCTTCTTCGTCAATATCATAATACATTCGACATCCATGCTTTTCAGAAAATCCATCAAGTACAAATCTCAATGCCTACGACTACAAAAGTGTCGAGAGAAATCAAAGAGGGACTCGTCAAAGCTCGTTTCCCGCATTTATAGAAACTCGTAAGAGCGTTCCAGACTTGGTTAAAGGCAACGTTTACGGATTCTTCGATCAGTTCGAAATCAATTCTTTCCTCAGCCAAGATTACGAGCGAGAGATAATTATTTTTGTCGCGCAAATTTTTCACAATTTTCAATATTAAATATATTTGCACATAACTGGTCCCCAACTTACGAATTTGTTGCGTTAAAGTCTAGCTAAAAATAAATAATAAATAAAGTTTTGCGATTCGTTTACGCTAGAGTTTGATTCCCGAAAAAAATATCCATTTTCTTTTTTTGAAGAAAAATCGACCTCAGATTAATGATATCAAAGAAACCGTAGACCGAGAAATGAACTGCCAAGGCTGGTACACTCATCGAATTAACTCGTGCCACACCGAATTAATCTGTCAAAATTAGTCCTTACGAAAATACATTGATACAATTAATCGACTACGTATTTACAACATTGTGCGATGAACACTTAAATCTATCTTCCGGGGGGGTGTGGGAGGAAATACACCGCTCCGAAAAATTTACTCGCGATTATACACCTCGCGAATTTCCTGGCCGTTTGACAAACTAATTCACCTATTTTTCACGAGCACGGGCAAAGGAAACACCCGTAAAAAAAATCTTTACTGTTATTTATCTTACTTTCTTTTATTTAATAAACTAACAATTTTATACGTAATATTATGTAATAAATATATAATTATGTTTCCTACACATTCAGAGACACGGCGGAACGTATGGAGCGCGTCCCATTTTTACTATAATAACCGTTCGAAATAATCGCTTTATTAAAATCGTGAAAGAACCGTGTTAAACCCTTCTCACTCTTTTCTTCATTTCCCACCTTTTTTTCTTTCTTTTCCTTTGAGACTTATAATAAGATAAGATATATATTCCAAGTGTCGTCAAAATCCGACTCCGTGCGAAAAGTAAAACGCGCGGTTACTTTACCGTATCACAAGTCTAGCCTTGTACAAAGAAGAACGAATAGTTCGTAATACTTAGCGTGTTACCGCGCTAATCGAATTACGATTACCGATATCTATAATAATTTCGCCTAGTTAATGAAAGAAGAATCGTAGATCTTGATAGTTAATTATACGTAATAACTACACGTTCGATCCCGAAGCCAGTTGTGTGTTTTGTGTAAGTGTGTGTGTGTGTGTGTGTATTCACCGTCTAATAATTTATGTTTCTTTATATTTTATATATATATATATATATATATTTTTTTTTTACGCAACAATAGTTACGTCTTAATCTAAGATCGCGTAACTCTCTCTCTCTCCCTCTCTCTCTTTCTAAGAGCAATAACCGACAAGCAATCGCGATTTTAAATCTACACTCAGATTTTCCTTTTTCTCTTCTATTCCCCCACGCCGCCGCCTGCATTCCCGTATTTTCCTCCCTCATCCAAAGTCCGTTCTCGTTTGAGAGAGTCATTATTACGAACCGAGTACAAAAATCATTATCTAGTAATCAGCAGTACCCGCGGCTTATTTTAAATCCCACGACGTATACAAAGGCTGATTTCTACGTATTTGTACTTCCACGACAAACGGATAAAACGAAGGTTTCCTCGCGTACGCCCGAGCCCGTGTGTCGAAAGAAAAATTCCGGAAACTCTCTCGGTAAAATATCAGTTTTAATACCGCTTCTTAAAACCGTATTTTACCGTCGTTCTCTCACCGCGCCTCTCTTCCCTCTGTTTCCCTGCATCCCGGTTATAATTACCCCAAATAAATTGTTCCGGAATTGTACAACGATTTACTTCGGTGGCATGGCTTTCAGACTACACATAAACCCGAGACGTATTTCTATTACATTGATCAAATGTAATTGCATTTGTAAACCTTTCTATAACAATCTCTCGACGTCTTCGCATGTATCTCTTCTTCATATATACATATATAGTATCTATGAATGCATTTCTATATGTACATGCACATGTATGTGTGTATATGTCGCGCGCGAGCGTATATAGATGCACGTATATGTATATGTTTATCATGTGGCTATAATTACAAAATGAATATATATATGTGTGTGTGTGTGTGTGTGTGTATATGTGTGTGGCCAACGAGCATTATTCTTACGAAGTTAGAGTGCATCGGCGCGAATGAGGTGTGCACGGAAACGCGAGCTGAAAATTGTTCGTAGAAGATATCCAAAAATTTCAGATACCGCACAGCCTGACCGCGCGTATTCTGTGTTCTTCCTTTCATCTTTCTATGTATACCGCGATTCACGTTTTAAGCTTAGTGCAAACTTGCGATTGTTCTCTACGCAATTCGACTCTAACGCGCTCATGGAAGTTCATTCCAATTTTCCCTTTTTACAACCGGTTTGCCGCGAAAGAGAAATATTGGAATTTCAAGTTTTATCTAAACAGAAAAATAGCATCGATTTAGATCCGTTGGATTACACAGGTATTTCCGCTCTCATTTAAAAATATTCAAAGAAAAGAACAAAAGGAAATGAAATCAATAGAAGTGCCACGTTGTTTCGCGATTTTACGCGATAAAATATATGGATTGTTAAAAAAAAATAATAATAATAATAAAACCTGCTTCGTTTGAACAGCGTACATTTCACATTTTAAATTACAAAATGTTATTGAAATTTAATTTTGTGCGTGACTCTATATAAATTTTCCTCTTCCCTCCCTTTTTGTACTCGAGATGCGAGTTAAAGCAATTTCTGTGTTTGAAAGAAGAAAAACTGGAAGAGAAAGATCTGCCCCGACGGTTTCCAGTATAAGTTTTTTTTTTCCTATTAAACCACCTATCGATATTTGAATTACAAATCACTGTTTATCAATTCACTTCGGTTTTCTTTACTCATGGTAATTGTCCTCGGCTATTTTAAAAGTCTTTTAACAGATAAATGCCCATCCCATTTGCAATCGTTTCAACAACACGAAAAACTTCGGAAAACATGACACGAATCGTAGCGGGAGCAAAATATGCATCCTTCTTTACAGGTCGCGTTAGAATTTTATCATGTCGTAGTAACGAGGGTTGGGCTAAAGGTCGTAAACGTTCAGATGTGCATCTCCTTATTAAAATCACATTACACCGGTGCTACTTCTCTGCTACTACGTGGCAAACCAATCAATTTATACTCAAACGATTTACTCGAAACTCTTAATTGGTGCACATTCACGGTAACAATCTCGTTATCGAGCATTATACGTGAAAAATCGACCAACAGTTATTAGTACCATAATCGGTAAGATATAAATCGTCAATACGAAAAAAAATAAAGCTCATGGTCCCACGACATAACAAAGAAAAAGTACTAAGTGAGAGAGAGAGAGAGTGGGGGGAAGAGAAAGAAAGAAAGAATGAAAAACGGAACGATCGTGCAAAAAGAGAAAGAGTAACGTAACGAGCGGAGGTCGCAAAAATGTCGTACAACGGATTTCTTCGGATTCTAGTCATCAGTTTTGCGCGTACTAAGCTGTCCTATGCGCGTCTGCAAAGGGGGGAAAAAACAGAAGAAAAGCAGGACGCGCATGTCGCGACTTCGCGAAACGCGCGATCTTCGTGAAAGCGCGAAATGCGTTACGATGCGAAGCACCGCCGACCGTTCTTAAGTACCGAAAGCGTTCGTTAAGCTACTACGTGTCGAAAGTGAACGGAGCGGAGGAACGTTTCGCGCTTGCATCGGCGACGCTCTGCCTGTTACTGTTCCGGTTTTTGTCGCCGCGCGACAGCAGACCCTTGGCGGTCTCCTTGAGATTGCATCGCGGACGAAGACTGCTAACGTGTGTACGGCTACTGCTGTGTGTAAGAGGGTGGTGTTGGTGGTTCACCACCAGGGATGCAGAAGACTCACCGGATTCCCAACCGTCCTCGTCGCCGGTGGTGTCGCACTCGCTGCTGTCCGCTTCGCTCGACTCGCTCGGCGTTTCCTGCCCGCCTATCCCCAGCTGCACACCGTCGCCACCTCTGTTCGTCGTCGCTGGCACAGCTGGAGATATGTTCCCGCCCACGCTATGCATAAATAGACTCACCTGCAATTAAAAGACCGCGAATAATCGAATGTTCATATCTTGCGCTTGATAAGATCTCACTATTCTAACTTAAATAGATTGTAATATTTAATTGCTTTTATTCCAAATTTGACTAACAAGGTATCTAATGCTAAATACTTGAAATTGAGACACCGTATACATTTGTTTTCAGAATTCTGATTCTAATTGTAATGAGCAAAATACCCAATGCTGAATGTTGTACAAGACATGCATACATTCTACATTTGCTAAACTTCTATCATTTTTTTTAAATTATATTTTGCAAACACGAGACAAACTAACTTTAAAATCCGGACTGTATAGCTTGTGATTTTTATCCTTGTGTGCATTGTCCAATCCTGACTTGTCTATCCGTAAAATGAGAGTGGGCGGCATAGGACCGAGACTGGCCAACGATCCAGTTCTAGGTTTCACGTGCGACATAACCATCGGTAATTCCATTGCTGTGCCGTCGCAGCTAAATGCCCTCGCCGATCTTTCAACGTGTAATTCGCCATTGTCGCACTCGGAATTCGCTTTCTCACGGACGAAAAATGTGTTGAACCAAAAATGAAACATTTTCTCCTGGGAAGTACAGTAAAACACAGTTCGTTAATCTATCACGCCAAATAAATTGATACATACAAATATTGTAAAGATATGTACCTTTCGTTTCATTTTTGGCCTGTAGTTGTAGAACTCCACCCGTATATCTCCCGTCAGAGCGACAGTGTGTTGCAATGGGATACAAATAGAAGATGTACCTTTCCGAACCTCGTAATCATCAGAAAATATCCTTTTGTTTGATTCCGAGATTACAAAATGCAAGCCTAGAAACACAATGTACAGAGATAACATACTTTACATGAGCTGCAATACGATCAGAAATTATAATAACACACAAGTATATATATTATAAAAGTCACGGGGAAAGATATTATGGAGCCAAAAAAGACGTTTTTATTTCTTGCATAAATCAAAATTAATAAAATGATATAAGTATCGATTGTTAACGATAATAATTCGTATAACTTTTATAAAAATTACTTACAGCCTTGGCCTCCGTTGAAAATAGGGGCCGGATCCAGTTGTATCTTACGCAATAATAATGTCACTGGTTCATAACTGAGACCCTCTTGGAGGAGGGTAGCATAATAATCTACATATCTTCTCTGCGATGGTATCGTTACGCCTTTCCTGGATCACAATAAAACCGAATAAGCAAGATAATTCTCGATCATCGAGCCATCACTACATGCTAAATCCTCAAAAGTGTCTTGTAGTATCTATTTACCTATCGTGAGTCCGTTTAGTTCCATAATAATTAAGGGCTTCCGTGGCAGTGGGAAACTGTTTGCTGTGAAGTAGATAACAGCACACCATTACACCCGTTCGACCTTTGCCCGCCTTGCAATGAACTGCGGCTACGTTGTCCTTATCTTGGGATAGCCACGACTGCACGTCCTCGCAGAAAGGTTTAATCTGTTCCAGCTTTGGTGGATTATGATCATCGAACGCGTAAGTAGCCACTCTCTGCTTGAACTTTTTGCAATCATACGATCTCTCGGAACACCTGAAACATTAGTGTAACGTTGTATTAAAGACATTTGTGGTGAAAGAGACATTTTAAGAGACATCAGTTAAGTCTTTCCAAAGAACTTACAGATTATAAATCTTATAATGATCTTTATGTTTCGATTCCAGCAGCTTAACAACGTCATCAATATGATTTCTATACACTCCCTCCAGCTTCTCAGCAGGAAAACCCATCGCTATTAAATTCGCTTTTATATCTATAACGTCACAATAGTTAAGAAAATTTATCCAGCATCATCCAACAGTTGATTCATATTAAAATCTATATTAGTACTTACATTGTTAGTGTAAATATAAAATATGCAGAACGCATAGTATTCTAATATCTAGTTATTTCTACATGTTCGTGTGTGTATGTAAAACAATTAGGCAAGGATACATGTGAGATCAAGATTAAAACCGTCCTCCGTGAAACGTTTGCGGCGTTTGCTAACGAGTCCCTTTATGGGATTAGTCATCTTCATGTTGCTGATAGTATTGGCCATACTCGGCTGGCTTTGTCTTAACTCTCCTGTCTCGATTTCGATCGAATCACCTTCCGCCACCTCCTCGGGAATCTCTTCTTCTGCCTTCTGACTCTCAAAGGTCCTTTTAACCTGTTACCAAGATTACAAATAAGAAAACATTGTCACAAATTTAATTGTCACAATTTATCTCAATAGCACGCTCTCTCTCCTTCTTCTCTGAGAGTTTGACAAATTAAAATATAAACGCAAGCTCACCTGAGGCTTGTGAGCTTGTGAGGCGTCACATGAGCCCAGTTCTGGTCTTCTTTGTTCCTCCAGACAAACATGGAGAGGGGTTACGGAGGCCGAGATATGCTCAGATATTTTACTGTTCAACCTGCCGCTGGTGGGTCTCCTGCAGGAAAAGCATATACCCATCAATTCCCAGAACATGTGTTCCTCTACTTAGGCATTTTTTTCATCGAGCATGTCCTATTTCTCCACCGTGAAGCTCGGCACTGGTTCTTGATCGGACACGGACCATTTTATGATGACATATTATTATCACCATCACCAAGTCCGGCGCGATTTCACGGAAAAACACACACACAGCAAAACTCCACAGAGAACGACGGATACGGTCTTCGAGGAGAAGCTGTCCACGCAGTCGCGGTGGCAGACAACGCGGAATATAAGGGAATGCACACCATACACTCTTTTCACAGGCTCCGTAACTCAACAGCTAGCCATTAAAGACACTGGCCTCCTGGTCGTTGCATTGTCCATCTTGTTCCTTCTCTCCGGTCCGTTCAGACAGGCATTCCTGCTTCAAAAATCACACAAAGATCACAATCGTCATCGTCGGCAGTCAGCAGCGGCGGTGGAGAAAGAGAAGAAAGAGTGTCTCGCGAAGGAGATCGTGAAAGACTCGGCGAAGCCGGAAGCGGGGAGGATCGCGGAGAGTACCGGGCGAGTCGTTCGCGGGTCCGTCGAGAGTATCGTCAACCTACATACGCGCGTGTTTACGCCGTACGCGGACACTGGAGTCGCGGGTGGAACGGCAGGTTAGCATCGCGCGAGACGATGCAACGGCGACGAGGACGATGCGCGACACTCGGCGGTGCGTCCCCGGGTCCGTCGCGCTCGCGATCGAGCCGATCAATGCGATGCGATGCGATGCAAAGCGATGCGATGGGACACGATGCGATTTGATGCGACGCGATGCGAGGGACGTGAGGACGTCGCGTCGCACCTCCCGCGTTCGCTTCACCGTGCCGCTTACCCCAGGCCGGACGACGACGGGGTCCGCAGAAGCCGCAGGAGAGCGAGAGAGAGAAAGAGAGAGAGAGAGGGAGAGAGAAAGAGAAAGACGGTAACGAGACGGACGACGAGGCAGGGGTTTTAGGTTTTAGGTTAAGCGCGCTCGCACTCTACGAAGGAGAGAGAAGCGGCTCTCTCGCTCCCACTTGTGCGCGCTCGGCGGCGGCGGCGGCGCGTTCGCTTCTCTCGCGATCGACGGCGACACGGAGGAAGAAGGTTTCATAGCCGTGGAGTCGCGTCCGCGACCTCGTGCACCGTCTCGCGGGGAAGCACGTCGAACATTTACCTCTTCCGCGGATGAGGCTGGCCCGTGAGGCAGGAAGGTACCGCGAGCAATCCGAGCACGACGACCACGGCACGGACTCGGCGAGTTGAAGCCGAGCGGCTGACAACGCTCGCGCTGCTCTCGCTCTCTTTCTCTCTCTCTCTTCCCCCTTCCTTCGCTCTCGCTCGCTCGCTCTCACTCACTCGCTCACTCTTTCTCCGTACCCCGTGCGGACGGATGGACGGACGACGACGACCGCCGTCGCTCTCGCGTACCTTACCCGGGGGGAGGGACGAGGGGGAGGGGAACTGTTCCGCGACGGAACGGCGGGGTATTACCGGCACCTCGCTTCGCGGCAGCGTCGCCGACGGCACGTAGTACGCTCGACACGCGTCGTTAACGTTAACGCCATGACAGCGTGTGCGTGTATGCGTATGCGTGTGCGTGTACGTATTGTGTATGCGTGTCTTTTCGCCGCTTTCTCGCCTCTCGATCCCCGCGGGCGGCCCACGGTCTCTCTCCTCTCCGTTCCGTTCCGTTCCGTTTCGTTCCGTAGGGCACACATACACACACACACACACACACATTCACGCACGCACGCATGCACGCACGACCCACGTATGTATGCGTGCCGTTAGTGCCGTACGCTCGCTCTGACTCGCCGCTGCAACTGCAACCCGCGGCCCGTTCTCGCGTTTCTCATTCAGCGCGCGCGCTCCGCTCCGGCTCCGGTCGCGTCATCGCGAACGAATCGCGGGGATCTTTCGTCTTTCGGGTTTCGGGGTTTCGGGATCGGGCGGAGGAGCAGAGCAGGAGGCGCGCAGGAGAGGCCGAGCGCGTCGCTCGTGCGTCCTCGCCGTCCTCGGCAGCCGAGGCTCGGCTCACCTCATCCCGCTCAACGCTCATCCTGCCGCCGCGTCGCGGTCGCCACAACAGCGGATCTCGCGGGTCGCTCTCTTTATTCGCGCTTTGTCGCGAGAAGCGAGTCCCGAGCGTCTCGGTGTGGAAAAACGAGAATCTTTTATTTTACTCGTGTGCAAATGTACGAATTAAAAGATTCTCGTTAGCCGAGAAACTATCGCGAATACAGTTTATACAGTCCCCCGCGTCTCTCGTCCTCATCCTTATCTGTACTCCGCCGTTTCCTGAAATATCTGATTCCATATTCTTTTATTATGTCGAGACTGAAAAGCGTCGGTATAGGAGATCGATGCGGTTCAATATATTCTCGGATAATCGGGAACTGCAATGTTCAAAGGCATCATATCGCTTTGTACCCCGCGGTCACCCGCGGTGCCCTTCTTTTGTGCGGCGTCTCCTAAGAGTCCTAAGTGAGATACCGATGTATTAATGTGGTTTAGCACCTTATCTAAAAGAAATGTTCTAGGTGACAGGATTCTTTTCTTTCTGGAATCGGTAATTATCCCTTTTTGGGCTGGGACGCCGCCTCTTTCTCGCCTCTCACTACCTGAACGCACTTGAACCCGACGATTTTGTTCCAATATATGTATATACACAGTAAAAAATTTAATGTCCCAGAAAGTCCACTCTAAATTTTGTATTAAAATAACTCATGCATTGTGTTATTTTTTACATTTAGAAATGTTATTTTGGTCGATATAACATTTCTAAATGTAAAAAATAACACAATGCACGAGTTATTTTAACACAAAATTTAGAGTGGACTTTCTGGGACATTAAATTTTTTACAGTGTACCTATGTAGAATGAACCATTCTGTTCTCACGGTATTTCTTTCAGTCACTCTTTTTCTCTCTCTCTTTCTCTCTCGCGTATTTTCGGATGTTTTCAAAATTGAGAGCTTAACAAAATGAGAAGCGAACGGAAATCGATATTTTTCCTTCTCTCTCGCGTCTTCGTCTATAAAACGTACAACAAGTCGATCGTGGAAGACATCTCTTTCACTGGTCGAACCGACACTCCCTTTGGTCTCTTTCACCTCTTCTTTCATTTCTTCCTCTCTTTACGGGGATGAAAAGAGAAATTCGTTCGTTTACATCTCCTATCGTCGTCCTTCTCTCTTTTTTTTCTAAAATACGTAGCTCGCTTTTATTCCCAACGCGGAAAACGCGAGAATCTAAATCGATGCGATTTCTTTGCTTCCCCGATTCCGAGAAAACTGAGGAAAAAGAAAAGATTAGCTTTCTTTTTGAAAACGTGACGCAGACGAAGGTGCTTTGTTCCTTGAATGCACGCCTGCGATTTCCTCTACCCCCGTGGCTCTCCTTTTATTTTACGTTTGATATACGTATTTCTTTTTTTATATTTTTTAATGCAGTCTGCGATGAATGATGTAATAAAATATTTGTATAGTATTTTTTTCAAAATTGCGCGAATTTGACTTACAAATTAATTCTCGAAAAGTTTATCAGGAAATAGGTGTTGAAGGGTTTTCTCTAAATCGAATTTATTTCTTGATATAACATACATGTGTTACATTTTTTCAATTGTGCGCAATCTGATTTAATTTTAGACGGTTCCCGAAGATTTTTTTTGCAAAAGTTTGGTCTCTCGAATTTATATATAATTGTTTATTCCCTTTCAATATTTCTTGATATATGAATCTTTTTATAATCTTCCTAAAAAAAAACAATTTTTATTTCGGAGTGGTAATATACTATCATTGGATATTGAATTAAATTTCATATTTTATCAACATCTATATTACATAATATAGAGGTGATAATTATTGTTGCTCTATTATATATATATGTATATCTTTCTTTACATATATTTACAAGTGTGGAATTACATAGTACACATAACCATTGCCAGATACTAATTGTAAAATGGAATTTAGATTTCGTAATCGCTTAGAGACATCATGTTTAATGTCATTTCGAAGTTGGAAGGCAAAATAAAAATATATTACACTGCGAAGCGTAATTACATCTGTCATAAAACTGTAATATATAAAAATTTTTGGTGTTTTTGTCAGTAAATATAATTCTTGTGTGTCTGTATAAACTATATAATATATATAAATATATTAATATATAATATATATTTATATATACATATAATGTATATAAAGTTCCTAATTTTCCTCTTAATATTTTTCTGTGAAATACAAAACTTATTAGTAATGATATTAATCTATGTACTCAGGTAACTAATAGCGTTTTTTCTTGGCTGCACTATCGCCTACTAGTGCAACACTAGTGCAACACTAGTGCAACGCTATTGGGTAGTGCAAGGCAGTGCAGGGCGGTAGTGCAGCCAAGAAAAAACGCTATAAATATTACAAACGATAAAAATATTATATAAGCAATAATTTAATACAATCCGCAAAATTATAGCATCTTTTTACAGTTCCAGTTATATAAAGAAATGATTGACAGTGGAAAAATTGACTCAAAATTGAATTAATTTGTTACATAATAGAATATACAAAAATGCAATATGTGCCGTTAAAAGGTATAATAAATATAATAATAACAACACATGTAAAAGTGTATCATACATAAAAGTCTCGTATAGCATTAAGGTACATCGGAGTTTCCAAAAATTCTCAAATCGATATCATTGCTGTTAACTATTGACAATCAAACATTTTTTTCACTTTTTGCACATTTTAATACTCTGTTATACTGTTATACATTTTACATAATTTTGGACGTGTCTACCAGATTTAATTATAATAAATTTTAAGTGTATATGTATATTATAAAAAGAAATTATATTTTAAACTTATTTAATTTTTCAATTTTGAAGAAACAAAAATATAATTTACCTAATAGAATTACAATAAATTATATTTTCTGCAAAAGAAACTAAATAAGATAAAATAAAAATTTTAACATAATAGAATTGAATGACGCCCTTGTCATTCATTGTCTCTCATTGATGTTTAATATAATATATCCAGAAAAATTCCATTTTACTTTATCATAAAATTTTTTCCTATGATGTCTTTTACTATGGAATTGTAAACACTTCGCTCGACGATTCTATTTGGGCTACTTCAACAGCATAATGCATTCATAAAAATTTTTAAATCGTTTACAAGTAAACCACTTCCAACAGCATCGAAGATTATAGTTTCATGATGAAGCAGAATATCACTGTCATCGTCGTCGTAAAATTTACGTAACACCCGAAGAAGTGTAAAAAAAAAAAAACAGTCACAGACAGCGATTAACAGAGGATAAATTTCTTTCCTTAATCTAGATCCAGCTGCCTTGTACTGAGCGTTCCTGTGTGTAGTTTTGACGTTCTCATTTTCCTGAATGATTTGAGTAAGTCCTCCATCGTAATGGGCCGCACGGTATCATGAAATTCTTCGTCATATTCATCGTCTGTATTGTTCTCGTACTTCAGCCCGTCGCTGTGAATTAAATGACATTATATATAGAAGCTGATACAGCGCGATTTCAATTTTTGGAACTTGCACAGTTCTGAGCTGTATATAATACGATATTCAATTTACTTTTTACGAAGTGTTTAAATACATACTGTGAATATAAGTAATCTCTAATACGATATATAGATGCGTTCCGACAAAGTTCTTGTAAATCAGATCCAGAAAAGCCTTCGGTATGTTTCGCCAACGTCCCCATTTCGACGTTGTCTGCGGTTGGCTCGTTTTTCAATATCAATTGCAAAACTTTCAACCGCTGTTGCTCATTCTGAAACATATATTGGCATTACTTTCTATAATTATGGATTAATAATCATATAAAATTTAAAATCGCATAAATATACGTACCGGCAATCCAACATGGAAAGTCGCTGGCATACGGCGCAGAATCGCTTTATCTAAATCCTGTGGCCTATTGGTGGCTCCCATTATAATCACGGTACAGTCAGGATCGGTTATCAAGCCATCCCACAACGACATGAACTGGGCCTTCATCATTGCCGTGGCCTCGTGATCCTGTGAATTGCGCGATCTCAAAAACGAATCTGTGTTAAAGTTAAAAATATATTAAAACAAGAAATTGTATCTGTTACAAATAGATCTGATACTGATACTGATAAATTATATTAGAAACATATAGTAGTTCTATCCAGATTTATTTTACAATATTTTTATTACCTCAGAATTTTAAAAAAGAATCAAAAAATGAAGATTTCTAGGATAACAAAAATATTCTAAAATAAATCTAGATACAAAAGATTACTATTCTTGGTGACGTACCTATCTCATCAACGAAAATAATGCAAGGCTGCAGTTTCACTGCCAATGAGAAGACAGCGGCGGCCAGCTTCTGGCTTTCCCCGTACCACTTATCAGTCAAGATGCTCACGTCTAGATTTATAAAACGTGTTTTCGCCTCCCGTGCGGTAGCCTTGGCGATCATAGTCTTGCCGCAACCTGGCGGACCGTATAGCAGTACTCCCTGAAAGTAACCAGCACAAGGCATATTTAAAATATTGGATTTCTCTTCAAGGGACCTGATCTGGTACCTACCTTGGGCGCTTGAGTCAGCTGCGAATCTTCAAATAACTCCTTCCTCTGTATAGGCAGGATGACTGTCTCCTTGAGTTCTTGAATAACGCTGTCCAGACCGGCAATGCTGCTCCACGATACTTTGATATCATTTGGATCTACCAGATGATTGGCTATTATCATTTCGTAGTCTGTCAATTGATCCATGTCAAAGGATCGCGCGTATCTGTCGCTCTCTGCCAATTTACGTAACTGCTCCCGAGCCTGAAACAATTTACATATAAGATATAAACCGCCAGTTACAGTTGAAGCATTGTTTGCAAATTGAAGACAATTTGTGACTCTGAAATTTCCTTGAGAAGATATGTAAGATGACTTCGAACCTTCTTCTTGGCTCTTTGCTTGGTACTCCTGGTAGGATCAAGCTGACTGATAAGCCATCTCATGCTGAAGAAACCGATCGCCGCAACACATGTCAATCTCGCTACCAGCATCAGGACCTCATGTCGCGTGAGACCAGCGCTCGCTGCCATGTTCATCGTTCACTAGGATACTCTGTTTGCCAAACTTGCTGCCACGTTGTGCTGAAACATTCAACACGGTTACACTTAAGAAGAAGAAACGAATAAATTCAGGAAATGCAGCAGTTGTAGAATTGTTAAGTAAAAATCGAAAAGTTGCACGTGCAAAAGCACAATGAATTTTGGAAAAAAATGAACTTAAAGCTGAAAGTCTGAATGAAGAGAGGATGAAGTTTTGTTAGTCGCTGTTCGTAATATTCTCGTTTTGTCGGACCGCGAAAAAACTGCAAAAATCTATGGTTTACGCAACAACGGCGGTTTACTCGCAATCATTACCGAATCGGTGCTGGTCTGCGACACGCCGAGGGTGACTCCACTACGTACTCCTGGCGACCTAACCTCTCCGGGGCTCGCGATTTCGTCGAGCGAAGAAAGCGGACAGCGATTTGTAGGTGTCCTAGGTGTTTGTAGGTTAGAGCGGAACGCGAGAAAGCAGGAAACATGCGCGGTGCATTGCGCATTGCGCCTTGAAGGGGTTGAAGTCGGATTTGTTCAACAGCGCTATAGTTACACTCTCTGCGCCTCGAACAAAACGCTCGAGTAGCTGTGACGGAAAGTGGAACACCTGCAGGAAAGCGCAAACAAAACGAACAAAAGTTTTGTCATATCATCTGTGAACAAGAGGCTGAACGCCGACGGAGCGACTTCGGTTAAAGGTTAAACACTATAATTAATTTAATTAATTCAACCGGCAGAATTACTTACCGCAAAATTTCCATTCATATATCGTTCGTCGTCTCGAATTTTTTTCCATTTATTAAACAAAAAAAGATTATATTTTATTCAGGTTAATAGCCAGAACCAGATACTGCTCGGCTTAATCGCCGATTAAGTTAATCGAAGTCGAAGGCGTTCTTTTATGCGAGAAACGATGAATGACGCAAGCGAGATGTCACATTGCATTAATTCAGTATGCGACAAGCGTGTCCTAACCGAGGAGAAAAAAGAAAATAATAGTATATTGTGTGACAAGTGCTGTAAGATGGAAATTGGACGTGCGGAGTGGACGCACGAGCCGGAGGCGAGTGCGATCACCCGCACGTCCAATTTTCAACTTAACACACGTGTTACACATTCTATTTTATGTTGCAAGTGCGTGGAAAGTGGTCTATCACGCACGCGTCGCGTGCGTAATAGGCCACTTTCCATGTACGTGTGACATAAAAGCAATTTTTACACAGAATATACAGGCAATAATAGCAATAAACCTTTCGAAATCACTGAAGTCAACTTCTTCCTCGAGAATTGCGGTTCGCCGATTGATGATGAAGAAGTCGAGGCGAGTCGACCTCACTTGTTGGTAAATAGGTAAATAACGTTTTTATCACAACCAATATATTGCAACAGTTTTTATTGTAACGTGCGAGCCGCGCATATCATTGTCGAACACGTGTCAAATCGCGTGGTTTAAACAGTGAATACCCGATGTATGCAATCGTACGTAACGTACTTGAAGGAAATCCTCGGCAATAAAATTCCCCGCCAATTTTTCCGTGTCGTCTATCTGCGGACTGGCGGCAGATTCAAATTTGATAATTGAATATTTCAATTCGCGATTATTTTGTTATTGTTTTTTATAATTATGTAGGTGTGAATGCCACGATTAAAAGCTCGAAAAGCAAATCAAATCAAATAAACAGATTGCTTAATTACAGGAATTAATGCGAATTAAGCTGAATTAAAGGTTTCTTACAGCAAAATTTCTTTCAAACTGTGTGTTTGAAGTAAATTTTACTGTGAGAAATCTCTAATTTAGCTTAATTAAATATTGACGTCTGTTCATGTACTCGCTTTCTTTCTGTATACTGAAAATAAAATGATATTTTATACATAAATTTAACGGAGGCAACAAACAGTATGAAAATTAAAGCTAAAGTAAAATGCAAACAGTGAAAGTTACAATCTAAATCTAAGAGAGTCTTATTATCAAACAAAGGAATTAACAACCCCGCTAGGTCGTTGAAGACATTCTAACTAGACTGAGAAAATAAAACAAATATTATCAAACAGTAACAGTCATGGTCGGTTAGGTCACATTAGTGTCATATAGCCAGGCGGACTGAAAAGTCAGTGAAAACGAACAGTTATTTCAATCAGTATTAGTGTGAGAAGTTGCGAGGCTGCAAAAGGTTTGTACTTTAAAAGACAGTGTGTGACAGTTAGACACCAAATGCTTGGAGAATAAAATAAGAAATTAAGGCTGTTAATTTTCAGATGAACAAAGGAATAAGATCTTTAAATGTTATGTGACAAAAGCACAAACATCGGCGAACTGCGGTGAAACATCGTTTTGTATGCTCAGTAATTTTGTAACATCGATATCTGGATATTATATTCATATTAGCTTGGAAACTTAATTTGATAAAAGGAAATCAAAGAAGTCAGTTGCCACATCTGTACACGCATTAGTCTAATAATTTTGTCATCTGGACAGTGTTCGAATATTACCGAAGCATGTCGTCCGCAGAGAAACGTAAGATTTCAAGTTCAACTGATCAAGATTCAACGGAAAAGCGAATGTGTATAATGGAAGAGCTGGAAGAGGAGGAAGAGGTGAAAGAGGAGGGAGAGGTGGAAGAGGAAGAAGAGGCGGAAGAGGAGGAAGAGGTGGAAGAGGAGCAAGTAAGTTCTTAACAGTTGTTTTCTCAACTTCGTTGACTACCCAGCAAAAAATTTTTCATATATAAACATTTAAATATAAATAATTTAATGTATAAAATATGTCTATACATGTTTTCTTTCTTTTGTACAATCTCTGTTCGTATGTACAAGACAAATAATATGAAAAAGAATTAGATTTCTTTTTGCTCATATATAATCATATTTTATATATGAACAGAGATTATTCAAAAGAAAGAAAACATATATAGACGTATTTTATATAATATGATTGTATATATATATATATATTTAAATATATTTTTATATAAAAAATTTTTTATTGGGTACGAGTTATTAGAACATTAGAAAGCGCATAAGATTTTGTGTAAACAAATTAATACATTTGTGATATTTTCTAAAGTGACAATTCCATGCACTCTACATAACAAAGAAAATTTACTTCCACTAGCATGTGTAATTTGAATGCAATTAAAAAGTTTAATGCAAAAAGTCTGGTTCAGACGAATGGATTAGTTTTATCAGAAAAGATAGAATTCTATTTAGGATATATAATATACAAAAATATTTAAAAAATTGGATTTATACAATATACATCAAAATGCATAGGATTGTAAATAAGAGTTTTTTCTTAAATTTAACGGGAATTATAGATTTAAGTATTTAGACTTAGACAAGAAAGCAGTTTACAAATAATTCGTGATGAAATTTGACGCAAACTTATGACAAAACTTTTATTTATGAAATCAATTGTGATTAACGAAAATAGCCGTATTTATATTTTCTCCTATAATTTAGCTATTTATTCAACTTTTTCTGATTGTTTAATATAAAGTGTTATTTTTGTTTAAAAAAAGATATATTAAGTGTAGAGTGTCTAAAAAATCTCTTATGTATTTTTAGTTAAAAGTCCGATTTCAAGTGGCTCTCATCTATACGTTTAAACATATGTTATTACATGTTAGGATATTTGATTGAAATTTAATATATTTTATTTAAAAGCACAGAAACTTTTATGACATTTCGATGTTGATCCTTATTCATAAGTAAATTAATTATTTACAGACTTCTGACGAAAGAGAAATTGAGAATATCTCTACAGAGAATATCCCGAAAAAGCAGCAGACAGTATCTTTGCCATCTTCACCATCTATCACGAGTTTTTCTGAAACACAGATTAAGTCGAGTATACTTAACCATACATGGAAAATTAATCAATTTTTATGGCTTTGTAATACTATGAACACGATAACGTCTCCACCATTTCCAGAAACTGGTCAATACGTAATTAAAATGAAAGTTTCAAGCCGATGTGACTCAACTAATCTAATATCCTTTTATATACTTACTATAAATAATACATTTAACGCTTTGTGTACCACTTCTATAATACTATCGTGTGGAAGAGTTCTATTTTCGAAATCCATCACAGGTTCTATATCGAATAACACATTGTTAATTCAAATCTGTGGAGGGGAGCTTCCGTTGTTAGATAAAAAAAATGCGCTTGTAATACGTTGCAAGTTCGAATTTTTTTGTAATCTGATAAATAGAACTATACGTACGAATTCACTACCATCTTCAACAGAATATTCAAAACACGTGACATATTTTGAAGACTTGGCTTTTGATGAGTTTTGGCTTAAAAATAAATCAGTTTTATGGTAGAAAAAATGTATCAAAAAAATTGTGCGCCCGCAACAGTAGTTTAAGAATATTTGCCTTAAGATGCCATTTCACATTGACGCTCGACGCTCATTTTTAACGAGCAAAAATCTTCAAAAATAATATTTTTTATTTATATATGTACATATAAATTTAATTTATATATACATGTAATATATATATGTAATATAAATAAATAAAAATTATTATTTCTAGAGTCATGTGATTTCGCTTTGACGTTAGCGTCAAGAAATAAAGTTGAAATTATTCAACATCCAACGCTGAATCGTTGATCGTCCCAGTACACTCAAAAATAAACTTTGAAATACATAAAATATTAATTACTTTTAAGTAATATCTTCAAGTAGTAATAGTTTACGGATATACATATATATATAAATAAAGAATATTATTTCTGAAGATTTTTCTCACTGAAAATGAGCGTCGAACCGATCGAGCGTCAACGTGAAAAAGCACCTTAAGGCAAACATATTGAAGACTTGACCTTGAATGAGTTCGGTTTAAAGATGAAGAATTAATCAAATTTATAATAGGAGAGGAACAATATGTTATATCAAGAAAATTGTTGTGCGCCACGAATAGTAGTTACTTTAAGAATATTTGCCTTACACATGAGAGAATAGAAAAATATGTGACAAATGAATTAGTAACGTTTAATGAGGTTGAATCTTTTAAACAGATTTCATTATATATTATAACTGGTTCAATAAGACAATGACTGGTACATGGGAACATACTTTTACCTCAGGAAAGGAATCATTGACGCGCAGTGTACATCATACTTATCAGCTATTAATAATTTTTTAAAACGTCATAATCACATTGGCCGATATTCATAGTCAGATCTTATACATATAAGATCGTCTTAAGTTTATCTTTAGATATTCTGTAGCCAATGAAACGAGTTGTTCAGCATCTGAAGATAAACTTAAGACGATCTTAAATATAAGATCTGACTATGAATACCGGCCAATGTGATTATGACATGTTTTAAAAAATTATTAACAGCTGATAAGAATGATGTACACTCCGCGTCAATGATTCCTTTCCTGAGGTAAGGGTATGTTCTCCCCTTATCTCAGGAAAGGAATCATTGATGCGGAGTGTACCAACTTTAAACTTAACGTGTGAACATTATTTGTTACGCTATATATTAGTGAAACTTATACAGCTTGCGTTATCGTTGAATGTCAAATTTTTGGAAACACATTTCGATAAGTTTTATTAAATTGCACATAGAAGAAATTACGGACACTAAAGAATTTCAAAGCTTACCGCAAAAAGATTTAAATAAGATAATGGTATTGATTGAGAAAAGTAAACCACTTGAAATCAGCACTCATCAATTCTTTTCGCCACCACCTGGCAGATAAGATATTTTTTGCATTGGCTAATATTTCATTTATATAATAACATTTATAGAACATGATAAAGACATTTTTCTTATTTAATTAGTGAACGTACTTTCTTCTTTTCCACAAATATAATATACCTTCGAATTTTTATATATGTAAGAATTTATATACAAATAAGTATTAATACAAATTGAGAATAATTTGTGATTTGAGTTTAGATGTAGGTATAAGACTATTACTAATTATACACTTAATGTAGTTTAGTTGTAAATATCTCAAGTCTACAGGTTGATCTAGAACAAAAGGAAATGGAAAGTAACAAGCCTTATAAACCTATGTTATCTATAAATTTTTTATTTAATTTTATCAGTTCTATTTCGTATTAAAAGTTTCCAATTGTTCTTTAGATCATTCTGTGCGTATTACAGTGTCAAAAGTCAAAATCTTTGGCATATATCAACCTTTTCAACGAGCGAGTTATTATTCATATTAATGAAATTTAAACTTAATTTTTATGCCTTCAATGCTTATCGCAATTATATGTTTTCGATATTGTCATTAATTTGGATTCAATAAAATACGATTAAATTGAAACAGAAACAAATTCATATAGTTATTCCTTAATATATGTAGAAAACAAAATCATCCATAAACTTATATTTCGTTATTTGTTTATATTTCTATCGACTGATACATGTACGCGGCTCTTTCTTATTTATTAGTATACATGTCCTCTCTACAGTAATGTCAGAAACCGGCCTC